CATATTGTATACAATTTGTTTTAAAATGAGTTGTTTCAAAACTTTCATTGGAATTGACAATTACTGTAAATACACATAAAAGATATCTTAGATGTTTCTGACACAAAAAACATTTTGCCTGGTCAATCCATATTTTACCAGACTCAAGCCCAAGCCCATTAGTACAAGCCCAAATGCAACCAACTAAGGAGGCTCACAACAAAGGTCAAGTCCAAACAAATTATACATGTGCCAATAATCATGAAAAATTAATTTGTAGAATAAAAAAAGATCACGTGTGATTTCATATTGAGACAACTCTTGATTGGTTTCGATTATGCTTTTCTGTTTCTGATATTGTTGGCTTTAGTTAGCTTTCAGTTGAGTTTTTCGCTTTTCATTAAAGCTTTTTCCTATTGTATAAATATGACATTGGCTTTTGTATAAAGTAACTTAATGAATAGAATTCACTTTTCTGATTTTGAGATGGTATCAGAGCTCTGATATTCTGCTTCGGTAAAATTTCTTTCACACGTTTCCTTTAATTTTCAACCTTGTTTTCTTCTTCAATGAATAGAATCCTTTTTCCATTCCAGAATTTATCACAAATCCTTCACACTCGTTGTTTCTACACCCAAATGAAACACCTTCTTTAGTTTTAGTTTCACCACCACAAATGGTAGCAATTACCATTCCTGGGCTCGTGGAATGTCGGTGGCATTGATTTCCAAGAACAAGCTAGGGTTCATATATGGAAGCCTTCCTCTCCCAGCGTTCGATGATTTTACTTTTCCAGCCTGGCAAAGGTATGACACCATGGTCATGGCTTGGTTGCATAGATCCATTTCAGAGACGATTATTAAATCAATTTTATGGATAAAGCATGCACGCGATGCATGGCTTGATTTACGTGAAAGGTTTTCCCAAGCAGATATATTTTGAGTTTCAGATCTTTTAGAAGAATTTTATCGTCTGAATCAAGGAGACGAAGTTATCACTAATTATTACACTCAACTCAAATCAATTTGGCATGAGTTAGATAATCTGAAGCCACTTCCTGTGTTTACATGTCCAGAACCTTGCACTTGTGGTGCAATTATGCAGATGCATGAGTACTGAGAACAAGAACATATTATTCAATTTTTGAAAGGACTAAACGAACAGTATGCACAAGTTCGTTCTCAGATTATGTTGATAGATCCCATACCAAACATCAATAGGGCCTTTCCTATGGTCACTCAGTGTAACACCCATGTGCACCCGGCGTATTAAACATACAATGGTAATAAGCACAACTTAATTGAATGTGGATGCTAATTATAATTATTACCAACAGTCATTAATTCCATTATGTGACTTAACTTTTCCTTTAACAAACCTGATGTATTGCAATAACAACATACATGCATATATAAATATAACGCATAAATGCCCTGTCTCAAAAGATAACAACACTTGTCATAAATCTACATCAAGTAGTCATGACAACATCCATGTCTCATAGTGTAGACAAATACATACTCTCAAAACATAATGCAAGCTTATTTAATAGTGGCATAGACAACCCCTATGCTCACATCAAATAACAACATAATCCAACAAGTCAAACAATAATCATGTCTCATCATAATAAAATGTATGATTTATAAGCATATATGTCTCATGTCATCATTCAAACTCTACGCTGGCCTTGTGCCCCAGATGGGGTGAGATTTTGACAAATCTCAGTAAGCTGGGGTTCTCGAACGATTACTCCGCCCCAAGCTCACTTCAGGTATAACAGTACAAAATAGTACAGAACAATAATAGTAGTACAAAATCCATATGATGCCACAACATATATATAACATGCATGTGTGCTAACAAGTCTACTGATCAGAGAATGGTATGATTTACACACGCCTGATCCATGCATCATTAAGTCCACCTTCTCCCACTTATTCCATAACCACCAGGTCCAAAAATATGACTAGAACCTTGGCTCTTCTCACTCACACTGAACCTACATCAGTGAAACAAGCTCTCACCAGTCCTCACTGGCTTCTTGCTATGGCAGTCGAATTTGCTGCTTTACAAGCTAAAAAAACCTGGTCTCTTGTTCCATTACCTGCAGGCAGAACTGCTGTTGGCTGCAAATGGGTTTTCAAGGTCAAAGAAAATCTTGATGGCAGCATCAATAAGTATAAAGTAAGGTTAGTTGCTAAGGGATTCCACTAAAGACCTGGCCTGGATTATAATAAGACTTCTTCACCTGTTATCAAGCCAATGACAGTTCAGACTATACTTACTAATACCCTTACTTATGACTGGACTTTACGACATCTAGACATCAACAATGATTTCCTAAATGGCAATCTACAAGAAGAAGTTTACATGTAACAGCCTGTACGTTTTGAGAGTGAAGATAAGTCCTTAGTTTCTAGACTACACAAGTCTCTCTATGGTCTTAAACAAGCCCCAAGGTCTTGGTTTGACAATGATAAACATTTGGTTTACCATGTTTTTAGGCTAAATTATATGAGAAATATGTAGTAGATTGCATGGAATTCAAGGTTTTACAGCACATAAGTCATAAGATTGGAATTTGAGCTAATGTTTTATAGTTCTTTGCATTTTGAAGGTAAAACCACACTTATTGGTGCTAAAAAGTGATAAAGAACTCAAGACAAAGAGTTGAGACTCAAATTAGACCAAAGGAAGCCAAAATCTTACAAGCCAAGGGCCAGAAGAGCACGCTCAAGCGCACAGAATGGACGCTCGAGCGCTTCCTGGCAGGGAAAATAGCCAAATTGAGCAATTCAGGATGCTCAAGCGCACAGATGCACGCTCAAGCGCCCAAGAAGACACGAATCCACCATCGAGGAGCACGCTCGAGCGCCCATATGGACGCTCGAGCGCGTGAGGGCAGGCAGAAACATCAAATTAAAGCACAACAACACGCTCAAGCGGCCAACAACACGCTTGAGCGCCCAACCACGCATTAGACATCAAAGATTTAATAAGATTTGATGAGATTTTCCAATGGATACCGGATTGTGATACCTGGAATTAAAGCGGAAATATATCGACCTTGATTTATAGAGATCCATGGAAGATTTGAGCAGGATTATAATAGGATTCAAAGTTTAAATATGTCACCCAATCTACAAGATCTTAAATAAGAAAAGAAAGCAATTATAGAATCGATTGCAAATCTGATAAGGATCCGGTGGGAGATGCAATAAAGGATGTGGCCTTGAAGATTATAAATAGGGAGCTGAGGGTCAGACCAATTAACCAATCCAGAGAATTACATAGAGACCTGAAGGAGGAATCCTGTTGCGGAGTGTTGGAGCACTGAGGAACCAAGTCAACATCACACGAATGGAGGCTTAGGGTTCTCTTTTCTTTATTATTGCTTTTGAATTCAGTATGCTAGGCTAGATTTTTATGTAGTTAGGGGTAGATGGAACCCAATTGAATCTTTATGTTTTAAATTAAATTGTCTCTGAATAAATTTATCTGTCTTTAATGCTTTCTATGAGTTTGCTCCTTATAGATTGATTTAGGGGAGTTGTATGATAATAGGGATATTGGTGCATGAACCCTGACTTGGTAAATTTATCATAATCCTTGTGATCTAGGGATAAACATAGGGTAATTGTGCAATCTTTAAATTCTTGATCTTAATGCATGTTTTCTTGAGGAATAATCGGAGAACTAGAGTTCTTTCAAGATCACATAGATTTAGGGTAACAAGGAATTGAGCCCTAATTAACTTAGAAAGAATTGATTGGCATTATATTAAGAAAGGATTCTTGACAATTTAATTCATTGCATATAGAGGAGATTGAGAGAAGTCGAAACCTTAACTACGCTCTTTCTTGATTTTCAAAACTTTCATCTTTTTACTTTCTTGCTTTTAATTCTGAAATTGCATGTTATTGATTGTTTTTAATTTCAATTATTTTCATCTCAAATTTGATTGTCCAACTAAATCATTGTTAGCGAACTAGTGCTGGAAAACCAATCCTCGTAGGAACGATCTCGTACTCAGTACACTTTTATTACTTTTACGACCGGTGCACTTGCCGAAGTCGCACTAAGTTTTTGACGTCGGGGATTGGATCTTTCAACATTAGAAGTAACTAAAAATTGTTTAGATTGGACGTTTTAAATTTCTGCAATTTATATTTTGCATTAATTTTTTTTTAAATTTTTAATTTTTGAAATTTTTATTTTTATTTTTTAATTTTATTTTTTTGTTGACTTTTTTTAATTGTTTTTTTTTGTTTTTAATTTTTTCTTTTTTTTTTAACTTTTTTAAAATTTTAAAATTTTTTTTAGATTAAATACCATTTTTGGTCCTCAACAAATTTTACGACGCCCGTTTTAGTCCCTAGAAAATAAAAAGGCCCATCGTGGTGGTCTCTAAGAAATTCAAAAAGGACTTATTTAGTTGAAATTTTGGTCCCTCACAAATTCAAAAAAGACCCATATTAGTCCCTAAAAGGACTAAAATGGGTCCATTTTGAATTTCTTAGGGACCACGATGAGCCTTTTTATTTGCTAGGGACTAAAACGGGTGTCGTGAAATTTGCTGAGGACCAAAATGGGTATTTACGCTTTTTTTTATTATGTATTTTTTTAATTTTTTAATTTAGTATTTTTTTAATTTTATTATTATTATTTATTTTGAAATAAAAAAATAGATTCTGCATTAATTTTTCTGCATATTCTGTATTCATTATCTTCTGTTTAAATTTTCTGTTTTCTATTTTCTGCATTTTCTATTTTTCTGCATAATCTTTCACTCTTAGTTTATGCGAGGTACTGTTAACCCACGATCCTTGCAATTTGATCCTGAGATAGAAAAGACAGCCAGAAAACTCGTAAAGAGCGCAAAAGAAAGAAAAGCAAAAGAAGCAAATGAAACATCAAGTTCAATAGAACCAAAGGAAGAAACGATGGCTGACAACAACGTACTTCAGAATCCTCCGAGGACGTTGTGAGATTACATGACTCTAGCTCGAGCTCCGCAGATGGCGAGCATTGTTAGACCAAACATGGAAGCTAACAATTTTGAGCTTAAACCGGCACTGCTGCAACTAATTCAAAAAGATCAGTTCGCAGGAGGAAGCACCGAAGACCCCTACAGTCACCTAGAGAATTTCTTGCTCTATTGTGATACATTGAAGATGATAAGAGTCTCACGTGACGCCATCTTGCTCAGACTCTTCTCATGCTCATTGAAGGAAGAAGCAAGAGGATGGTTGCAGTCACTGCCTCAAGGAAGCATCACCAACTGGGATGATTTGGCTACAAAGTTCTTGTCCAGATTCTTCTCCGCCTCAAAGACGGCAAGGCTCAAAGCAGAAATCACTGCTTTTGAACAAAAAGAAAGTGAATCCTTGTACGAGGCATGGGAAAGATTCAAAGGATTGCTCCGAAAGTGTCCCCAACATGGCATGGAAGCATGGGAGAAGGGACCTATCTTCTTCCAAGGAATGACGCCGAGCACAAGAACCTTGGTGAATGCTGCAGCAGGAGGATCATTGAAAACAAAAACTCCAGAGGAAGCGCTGGAATTGCTGGAATCTCTAGCTTCTCAGGAGTTCGATAATGCTCCAGTCCCAAGCAGGAGAGCAGGGATCATGAAGCTTGACGGCTATGATGCAATATTGGCCCAGAATGAACAAATATTACAAATAAATAAGAAACAACAAGCACAATTAGATGCTCTTACAAAGAAATTTGCTAAATCTCAAGTTTCTTCTGTTAATAATTCTCGAATTACTTATGGTATTTGTGCAAGTACTCATGCTACAGAAGAATGTGATTTGATGAGAGCACCTGGAACTGCTGAAGTAAACGGACTCTGGTATGATCAGAAGAACCATAATGATCCAAGGAGGAACCAGTATGGGAATGACTACAATCAAGGGTAGAAGAATCAAAATCAACATCTAGGGTTGAGTTACAAATCCAACCATCAGCTCAATCCTCCCCTTCCAGTGCAGCCACATACCCGACAACAAAGTAACACTTCTGAGTGGGAGAAAGCTTTTGCACAGCTATGCAAGACCACTTCTTATTATATTCAAGGTGCAAATGCTTTCAGAGAGGACACATCTGCTTTCATGCAAGAGACTAGAGCAGCACACCGGAATCAAGAAGCTTCCATAAGAAATCTGGAAATTCAGATTGGCCTGTTGTCAAAGCAATTTTCTGAGAGAGCTCAGGGTACTTTTCCAAGCAACACAGTTGTCAATCCAATGGAGCATTGCAATGCTATCACCACTAGGAGTGGGACAATGATTCAACGTATAGAGGAGCAGGCCGAAGAAAAGAAGAAGGATGGAGAAGCATCAGTTGAAGAAGAGAAGAAAAAAAAGGCAAAGGATACAATTGAAGTTGACAAAAGCAATCCTGAAAAAGCCAAAAAGAAACTATTCAAGTGGGAGAAGAAGAAAGCTCTAGAAAGACAGAACAAGCCATTGGATCTCTCCCCATATGCTTGAATCCCTTATCCTCAGAGATTAAAGAAAGATATTCAGAAGCAGCCGTATTCAAAGTTTCTAGACATATTCAGGAGGTTGCAGATCAACATTCCTTTTGCTGAAGCTTTAGAGAACATGCCCAACTATGCAAGTTCAAGAAGGATCTATTATCAAGGAAGCGTAAGTTGCAGGAATGTGAGACGGTGAATCTGACGGAGGAATGTAATGTTATCATCCAAAAGAAGTTACCTACCAAAGTCAAGGATCCAGGGAGCTTCAACATTCCATGCACTATAGGCAAAGTGGAAGTGGACAATGTTTTATGTGATCTTGGAGCTAGCATCAATGTCATGCCACTCTCCATGATGAAGAAGCTGGGGATTACTGAAGTGAAGCCCACAAAGACGATAATGCAACTGGCTGACCGCTCTTCAAAGCAAGCTTATGGCATCATTGAGGACATATTGGTAAAGGTAGACAAATTCATCATTCCTGTTGATTTTGTCATCCTTGACATTGAAGAAGATGCCACAATTCCTATGATTTTGTCATCCAAGCTCATGCTTTGAGCCACCATGAAAGTAGATCAAGTACGTCAGGCTCGTGACGTTAAACAAGCGCTAGGGGAGGCAACCCACCATTTTACTATTTTTAGTTTTGATAAAATTTCCCTTTTTTGTTCAATTAAGAAAATACAAAAAGATAGGAGAGGGTGTTGAGACTAATGGCTATCATTGAGTGGATTTTATAGGTGAAGAAAAGGGAACAAACAACAAGAGAGCGACTGGTTGTTTTTATTTCTCGACGCGTTTTCTTTGTAGCGCGGTTCATGTAAGCACAATTGAGTAAGCTGGAGGAACTTCATGAGTACACATAGAATATCCGGTTAAAACAGAGAACTATCTCAAATCCTTTCTTCTTTGCTTTAGCTTAGATTTTTTTTAATTGAATTTTTAATTTTTCAGTTTGTTTTGAAAACCCCAAAACCATTGTTTTTGTGAAAAGTTTGAAAGTTTCACTCAGTGCTTTTAAATGGAAAAATGGCATAAATTTTTTATCAGTAATTGATTCAGAGCATGATGATGCACTTACTTGAATATTTTCATAATGAGCATCAATGTAATGATTTTCATGATTCATTGAATATTCTCTTAAGCGATGAAACTTTTTTTGAGGTAAAGAATAGGGAAATTACTGTGCATTCATAGCCGTGAGGTTTTGAGCCTATACAGAAAATTTTTATTCAGTGTGCATCCCACTGTATGAAAGACTTCAGAACTTGCTTTGTTTCTTACTTGAATTGGTATGTGATATATTTTATGGATATGATTGAGGCATGTTCTTTCTTTAAACTAGATGGCCAAATAGCCAACCATTGCTGATATTCCTTAGTTAAACCCCATTGAGCCTAGGCCTGTTTATTCTTTGAAATCCTATAAAGATGAATAAGCCACTTTCCATATAAATCCTCACCTTATTTGAGATTAATTTTCAGATTTGAATTGAGGAAAAGGTGTTAATTGTTGATGATATAAATTGTGATGTATGGAGGTACAGGAAAAAAGGAAAAAGCCAAGGAAGTAAGGTTGGTTAGAAAGAAACAAAGAAAAGGAAAAATACTCAGAAAGCGAAAAAGAAAAGAAGTAAAAAGAAAGAAAAATTGTTCCGAGAAAAGAAAACGACAAACAAGAGAAGAGTTCAAAAGAAAAAGAAGAAGAATGGACTGAAAAGAAGAAAGAAAGTTGTTTACAAATTGTAAACGATTACATTTATTCCTCTTTGAATCTGAATTTTAATCTTGTAGCTCACTCTCTAAATTTTTCCTTCCTTTAGCCAGGCCAAGTTATAACCCTAAGAAAGACCTCTTGATCTGTGACATATGTCACAATACTATGGAGAGAGAGAATATAATCAAGCCTATGGTAGTGTTGATTCAGTAGGGATTCGAGTGAAACACCAACCTCTAAATAGTTAAGTGTGAGTGAATTGAAATCCTAGTGAGGGAGTGTTTCAAGAAATTTTCCTTATTCTTGATCTTAAGGAATTTTGTTGCATCTTTTCTCTGATGAATTATGAATTTTGTTGATTGATGCATTAATTTTTAGAGTCTGAATGCTCTGTTATCATGTCTCTTTTGAATCCTTCTTGTCAAATTCCATGTTATTGAGGATTCTTACTCCCTATTCCCTTAGTTAATTCTAGTTGATTGCTGAGGACAACAATATTCAAATCTGGGAATGTTTGATAAACCTTTGGTTTACCATGTTTTTAGGCTAAATTATATGAGAAATATGTAGTAGATTGCATGGAATTCAAGGTTTTATAGCATATAAGTCATAAGATAGGAATTTTAGCTAATGTTCTATAGTTCTTTGCATTTTGAAGGTAAAACCACACTTATTGGTGCTAAAAAGTGATAAAGAACTCAAGACAAAGAGTTGAGACTCAAGCCAAGGGACAGAAGAGCACGCTCAAGCGCATAGAATGGACGCTCGAGCGCTACCTGGCAAGGAAAACAGCCAAACTTAGCAATTCAGGACGCTCAAGCGCACAGATGCACGCTCAAGCGCCCAAGAAGACACGAATCTACCATCGAGGAGCACGCTCGAGCGCTCATATGGACGCTCGAGCGCGGGAAGGCAGGCAGAAACATCAAATTAAAGCACAACAGCACGCTCAAGCGGCCAACAGCGCGCTTGAGCGCCCAACCACGCATTAGACATCAAAGATTTAATAAGATTTGATCAGATTTTCCAATGGATACCAGATTGTGATACCCGGAATTAAAGCGGAAACATATCGACCTTGATTTATAGAGATCCATGGAAGATTTGAGCAGGATTATAATTGGATTCAAAGTTTAAATCTGTCACCCAATCTACAAGATCTTAAATAAAAAAAGAAAGCAATTATATAATCGATTGGAAATATAATAAGGATCCGGTGGGAGATGCAATAAAAGATGTGGCCTTGAAGATTATAAATAGGGAGCTGAGGGTCAGACCAAGAAACCAATTAACCAATCCAGAGAATTACATAGAGACCTGAAAGATGAATTCTGTTGCGGAGCGTTGGAGCACTGAAGAACTAAGTCAACATCACACGAATGGAGGCTTGGGGTTCTCTTTTCTTTATTATTGCTTTTGAATTCAGTATGCTAGGCTAGATTTTTATGTAGTTAGGGGTAGATGGAACTCAATTGAATCTTTATGGTTTGAATTAAATTGTCTCTGAATTCTTTTCTTTTTATAATTGAATAAATTTATCTGTCTTTAATGCTTTCTATGAGTTTGCTCCTTATAGATTGATTTAGGGGAATTGTATGACAATAGGGATGTTGGTGCATGAACCCTGACTTGGTAAATTTATCATAATTCTTGTGATATAGGGATAGACAGAGGGTAATTGTGCAATCTTTAAATTCTTGATCTTAATGCATGTTTTCTTGAGGAATAATCGGGGAACTAGAGTTCTTTCAAGATTACATAGATTTAGGGTAACAAGGAATTGAGCCCTAATTAACTTAGAAAGAATTGATTGGCATTATATTAAGAAAGGATTCTTGACGGTTTAATTCATTGCATATAGAGGAGATTGGGAGAAGTCGAAACCTTAACTACGCTCTTTCTTGATTTTCAAAACTTTCATCTTTTCATTTTCTTGCTTTTAATTCTGAAATTGCATGTTATTGATTGTTTTTAATTTCAATTATTTTCATCTCAAATTTGATTGTCCAACTAAATCGTTGTTAGCGAACTAGTTCTTGAAAACCAATCCTCGTGGGAACGATCTCGTACTCAGTACACTTTTATTACTTTTACGACCGGTGCATTTGCCGAAGTCGCAACAGACAAACTTAAAAAAACATTGTTTTCCTTTGGCTTCTAAGCTAGTAGATGTGATCCATCTTTCTTCATTTACAGATTTGGTCCTATGAGAATTTTTATGTTAGTCTATGTTGATGACATTATAATTACTAGCAGTGATGCTTCTAACAGCCCATTGTACACCGGTATTGTTAACATTAATTATGATATTAAGCGCAGTTACAATCACAACAATTCATTTATAAAAATGCAAGTAAACATTTTCCGTTTATTACGCGAGCATTTAAAACAATAAAAAGCGTAATAAATATTAGCTGTGATCGTAACCGTAAACTCTTTGCGGAATACTTATTTAAACTACTTTTATATTATATATTACTTGTCTCAAGTCACTAAGGGGGTTCCCATAAACCCACTTTGCGAAAATCTCACTTTTATGTTTTCTACCTATCCGAACATGGTTTGATCTTTTATTTTCTGCGCACAAACCGCATTCTACAAGCCTCTCATCTTTTATTATTTTATTCTAGACTTAATTAAATTTCTAGGAATATGTCTAGCTTGTTAGTTTCTGATTTGTAATTTCTTTCTGTTTCTGGGGCTTAGCCCCTCTTTATTTACAAAAAAAAAAAAAATTAAATTTCTAGGAAGCTATCACACAAGTCATAAATTTCTCGTTTGCTTCGGATATCGCCGTTTGAAGTTGGACAAGCAAATCTGCCAGCCAACCTCAAAACGGCTCCAAACAGCCTTCACTCAATCAATTATTCTGGAACATCACTCAACCAATTGCTCTCAAAGTTTTACACAATGAACTAGACACCTCAAGATTCAATTTGACATATCATACACCTAATTTGACTAAGAAACAAAGCAGGAATAAATTCCCAAACTCGCTCCAGATCAGCCACATGTGTAGTGGCCAAAAATGAGCAGTCCGTGCTCTCTGCCTTCTAAAGACCGACGCCCAACCCAGAATTTCCTCAAATTTCGACACAAGATAGAGGACATCTCAAGATCTAAAATAGTGTATGACACGTCCCTAACGAACCTTTGTGGAGGGAGATATGCTCTCCAAAGTTCGCGTAAATTCTGCCAATTTCTAGAAAATTCGCTAGAGTTTCCTTTGTTTTTCCAATAAATCCAAAATTTGCAAAAGTGTTCTTTAACCTCAATTTGTACCTAATAATCATTGGATGGCACACAAGGACCCGCAATGCCTTGGTGCTCTTACAACCCTTCACAGTTTATATCCAATTACTCAATTTATATCACATTGCATACATTTTTAAAACTTAACACATTTCAATCACCTAGATCCATTTGCCTGCATTATTTAAACATACACATAATCATAATCCTAAAATAGGCCTATTGCCCTTCCATCACATAATATGCTTCAATATTACACAAGATCCAAATGTAATAATTGCAATTCTCCAATGTACATCATAAAGCCATAAAGTCTCCAAATACAACATAAGTAAATAGATCTCAAAATGAAACATAATATATATGCAACTAGACTTAGGCAAAAGATGGCATGAACAAATATGACAGTATACCTCATCCTAAATCCATATACAATGTTCATGCCCTAAGTCTAGCCTAGCCCCAATGGCAACCAAAATGCAAAATAAATAGAATCCTCCAGCTCAGCCTACGGGCTTCTTGCCCGCTGCCCCGACACCACTGCTACCTCCTGAAATAAAGTCCCCAAAGAGGGGTGAGATATACGAATA